ATATTTTTTTAAGAAGATAGACAGAATAAAATTATTTTGCAGAAGTTTTCTAGTGAAAATCATAAGATATTTTTTAAACTTATTAATATTTTTTTTCTTATTTTGATTAATATTTAATGTGTTTTGTTACAAGTTAAAGATAGGTTTTCCATATAAATGTAAAAACCGTTGCACTTGTTTAGTGCGATTATTCAATGATTAGCAAGAGAATGTATATAATTAATTTGAGTGTATTCATGTGTACAAGTTTGCCATGTTTTCAACGAGGTGGCTCATTAAATTGTTCTTTTCTCAAGGTAATATTCATGTATTTAATAGATGTTAACCATTTTTTAGAAAATATGAATAAAGAATGTTTTTCTTAACTCGAAAAGTGATGTTGCTTTTTTTTTAATCGAGAATGTTATTTAATACGGACATAAAATACTTGGTAACAGTAAAATATATTTCGATATGAACATTTTACCTTAAATTTTAACTATCACAATGCGTATTCTGTTTAAAGCAGCAGCAGCATTTTCTACAAAGTACAAAGTCTGCAGAAAAAATGTAACTTATTTTTTTTTATTTCAATAAGGGGATTTCCTATCGACATTGAAATTTGTTAATACCTCGATTCAGTACACATACTATGCTTTTTCAACGTGACTGTGTATCGATGGGACCAAACATAATTAAGTACATTGTGGGGTATACTATGCTGTTTTAATGAGTATTTAAACATAACAATAAAACGACTTTATAAAAATAAGTTCAGTTTATTTCATTGATTTCTTCATAGTGAGCTTTTACAGTACTAGTGCTGCGAAAGAAAAAAATATATAATTGAAATGACAACCGGTATAATTGAAATAATAATTCTCGTTGGGTATACATGCATGTTTGTTTAATTCTTGTAGTGTATCCTCAACCATTATTAAATCATTGTTTCAAAAGTAGTTGCAACACAGATATTTATTAAGAATTAAAAAAAACAAGATGTGTTTGTGAAACACAATGCGCCCGGCGGCAACAAATTAAAAAAAAATTGGCATAAAGGTCACAATGAAGGTCACAAGGTCATTGATCATGGTGTCATTTGAAAGATCTTGATCAGTGAAGTATGCATGCCAAATATAAAGTCTCTATCTTTCATGGTTCAAATGTAAGGTGAAGGTTTAAAAAAGCTATTTTTAGCACATAAGACACAGTCAAGGTCACAAGGTCATTGACCATGGTGTCATTTGAAAGAGCTTTAGTAGTGGAGTAGGCATACCAAATATGAAGTTTTTATCATTCAAGGTTCAAAAGTTATGGCCAAGGTTAAAGTGTGCAAAAACTCTATTTTTAGCATATAGGTCACAGTCAAGGTCACAAGGTCATTGACCGTGAGGTCATTTGAAAGAACTTCAGTAGTGGGTTAGGCATACCAAATATGAAGTTTCTATCATTCATGGTTCAAAGTTATGGCCAAGGTTAAACTTTACAGACAAACAGACAAACAGACAGACAGACAGAAAGACAGGACAAAAACAATATACGCCTCGGATCTTTCGATCTGGGCGCATAATAAAAATCAAACAGTTGTATGTATATAAAGATCTGATTCAACAATAAAACTATTCATGCCAATTGCAACAACACTTTGTAATATGAATTAAACAATGACTTTCTTTAACAGTTCAGGAATGTTACAAAAATGTTTCAAGAAAGCACAGTACTGAGGAGTCGACCATATCATTCGTAAAAACAAATGCTACTGCAGTGTTCAGCTCAAACACTTCCAGGTATGTTGTGTTAAATTGCTTAACTATATTTGAAAGAACTACATAAAATATTTTATTATGAATTCAATTGCCACTTGGATAAAAAAGATATTGTTTGAGAATAATTTTGAAACTGAAGGAAGATAAGTAAATAAATAAACTAATATTATCAATTAAACATATAGCTTAATAAGTGTATTCTAATAAATCCAAATTATATAATTTGTTTTAAGAAAATCCAACTTATTGATCTTTAATGTGTAAAAAGTTTGCCGCATGGCACAGTAGTTTGAGTGTTAAGTAAGGAATCAATCCTTAGAATGCGAGATCGAATCCGACACTATTTGAGGTGAAGACCTATCCTTCGGAGGAGACCATATAAATTGTAGGTGCCAGCAGGAAAAAAATCCATCTTAATGTCCCTGAGTGTCTAGTATAGGGCAAAATTTGCAGCTCTCCACCTGCAAAAGGTGGCGTCTCCATATGAGTGTAAAATTTGCGCAAGGAACTTAAACCTAATTCGATCAATGAATCAACTAATGTGTTACATCGAAAAAATATGTTTACACTTTTTCATAAATTACATGTAACTATTTTGTGAGATTTAATATGAAAATATTGATCTCATACTTTACATGTATCAGAAGATTGCCTTTGTACCAACCGCTATTGATATTGAGCCACTAATGGATACGAATATATTATTGAGCATTGCAACTGTAACGCTAAATACCATATAATATATCATTGAATGTTGACCTTTCACCTGCTTATGCTAAATTGTCGCTTAATGAAAAAAAAAATATTAAGGAGATTAGCATGTCAACTATTAAATCAATGATTTATGACATTAAATGACTCTATATTTTTAGCGATTGCTACATGACCCTTAATTAAAACATCATTTAAAGAGAAAACACATTTATGAGTCATGATCACAATCTTAGGGATTTTTAACACCACTATTTAGACAAATAAAACTGAATTTTGACATTTAACATTCGGTAACGGCAACGCTTAATATCATAAATTATTGAATTGAGTGTTGAACTTTTACTGGCTTATGCTAAATTGTTTTTTAACACTACTATTTAGACAAATAAAAACTGAATTTTGACATTAAAAATTAATTACAAACAAAAATATTGTAAATAATAGATGTTAGGTCATTTTTGTTTTGTTTTTGACTTTACAGCGTACTTGTGTCAATAAAAAAACACTTACTCAGTCAATTTCGAGCGAAAAACACTTACTCAGTCAATTTCGAGCGATGACCGGTTGTAAGTCTATTGTTTATTGAGAACGCAGCATTGTTAAGACTTCAAAAAAAGGGGGGGGGGGCTAGTTTATACGGGAAATGTTTACTATGAAGTCACCTAAAAATAGGTACATTTTATGAAAATGGCGTTAAAGAGGTCAAAATGGCGATTCAAAATGGCGGACATCCAATTTTTCTAATTTTCTCCTAATGTCGTTAAAATGGAGAAGTAATGAGTGAATATCTAACTGAGTGTATTAAAACTATAAAAAATATAATAAAATGCTAACACTATTAGTTTAACTCAGAAAATTTAGCCGTTTTTTCACTTAATTCGAATTTTCTCTGATTTATTTGTCTATTGTTTCTTTATTCTTCTTTGTTCAGGATTTCACATTTGCCAATACCCATATACTGCAGATTTATATTTTTTCCTCTACATCTCTCAGTTCTACAATTGAATGATGGTGCAGCTGTAAGTTTAAAATCAAAATGGCGATTCAAAATGGCGGATATTCCTTTTTTTCAAATTATTTCTTAATGTCTTTTACATAGTAGAAAGTGTTTGTGAATATCTTATTGGGCGAGTACAATTAACTAATGTAAAATCCCAATAGAACACTATTATGAATACTTTAAAATAGAAAATTTAGTCGTTTAAATATAAATGTGTTAATTAGCTCAAAACTGAAAATTACGTCATATTCACTCGAATTTCGAATTCTCGAAAATACTCCAACTGCTTGATTGTGAATATAAATTACAGTTTGTTTTTTAATTTATAATTATAGTATATTGATTATTCCATTAAATATGAACAAACAAAAAATATCAGAAAAGATTCATGTTTTTTCTGGAAATAGTTAAAACAAACTCGACTTATGAGTTTCCAAATTTCCCCCCTCGTATTTGACCGTGTTCCATAGCCTTTAAGCCTCCGTCCACCTAAAATCACTCCCGAATCCAGTCTTTATCAACTCGCATTTCTACCTCAACATCCCTCAGCACACCATAAAATATAACTGAGAAAATTCATTTCCGATTTCATCGAATACTTGTTCTAGCTTTTTAGCTTTTTAGCACTTATAAGAACTTAGTATTATCTCCTAACATCTTCTATTCCAGCTTTATTTTATATGTTTCACTCTGTCTTCGGAATTTTGGTATTTTTGACAGTCAAGTAAAACGGTGCCCTGTGTCAAGGATGACAACCAACTTGGCACGTAGATCTTTTCTCTGGAGTTCGAAAAAGAGTAAGCTCACAGGGGGCCACCAGAGAAATCAAAATCCTCCAAAAACCGATTATTTAAACTGATAGTCCGCCGAAACATGACTGAAAAATAGCCAACTCGGCGTTAAACAATATACAATCAATCAACACTCAAGGAAAAATACATTTATGTTCAAATGTTAAAAGTCTGTTTTGTTTTCCAAAACCTTATGCAAAATGAGCTCACTAAATGATACCCCCGTCACCCATATGAATACCTACGAATACACAGTGTCCATGTTTTGCCATATGAAACCAAAAATATGTGTTGGATCAAAAAGTAAAAGAGGAAGTTCACAATGGCAATATGTAATAAAGGTTCTGTGAAAGTTTATCAAATTTCATTCAGTGGTATGAAACGAGTTACGGATAAGAGACGGGTACCCCAAAGCGTAAAAGACGGACGGACATACCGAGGGGGGGTTATAAAAAAAATATGATATTCAAGACTTGTAGCTCTTTATTTCGTGACCGCGTATAGATTTTTTTTCTTTTTGGGTAGAAAGGTCATTCTATTAGCAAGACAATTCTCAAACTTCATCATCTGGAATCACATTGTGTGCATATTTTGGTGAAAAAAGTTGTAAAATTATGCAATTTAAGTACAAATGATACAAACAAAAAATGAATGCCAGGATTGGTATACATTTTATGGCCTAATTTCATTGCAAATGATGAAAATAATAAATTTCTAGAATATAAAGAAGTTGTAAACCTTATGTGATGTTCAAAAGTCTGCCATTCTGAAGCCATCCTTGTTAATCTATACGAATATTTTTTACTTTAAATTCCATTTTTGTCCAAATTTGAATAAAAAATTTGAAACTACGCGCTGTAATTTATTCATTTTGTTCATTTAAACATGACTCAAGTTGTTATATTATTGTCAAATTCTTTGACAAAAGTTTGTTTGTATCATCTGTCCTTAATAGCGCCTGCAGATTCCTCGTGATTCCTATAATTAACAAGCTTTCGTACAATAGGCATAAGCCATTCTTGACTTAGATCTAGTCAACACTTCTCTTTACAACAAAATTTTCTTGAACACTCCAAGAACTTTACAAGGCAACTTGATCCACACTTATCGTTAGGATAGTGTAAAGTTGTATCAAGAATCGAGGAAGGATTGAATACAAACATTTTTTTCTGTCAGATTTTGTAAATTTAATTTTTTAAAAATTTTTATACACTGTTCAATACAAAATTGGTGGAGGAGGACCGTTCACACCATGAAAAATTGGAAAATGCAGTTGAATTTTTTAATGAGAATAACAATAATATATTCAGATTTATATGATGTAACAATTACTAGCCCTTTAATTGCTCGTGGTTCATCATTTTAAAAATCATACTAAGTTATGTTGCACTAGATCTTTCACATGAACATAAATATTTTTTTCTACACTGGACTAAAATAAGATCAAGAATTTCCAACAACTGATATGATTTAGCAACCCTCGAACTACAATGTTCACTAGCCTTAATGCTCGGTGAATACTGCTCTTCGGGTAGCTTAATTTTCATATTGTCCTCAAAACAGCAATTATTGTATGATATTATTAACTTATTATATAAAGAAGCATGATACATGTATGATGGATAATAGGTGAAATGTCTTTGGAATTGTCCTAAAAAATTTATATTAATAATAGAAGTAATTAAACAAAAATCCGTTTTATAAAAATCCTGTCAATAATGAAAATATCCATTAACTTCCATCACATATTTGAACATTATTTCATGAATAAAAAAAACCTTATGTTTGGGAACCGATGGTGACTGATCACGTTCACTGCAACTTTCCATCTCTGTTTCCTTTTCCATATCCGACCTAGGTAGTAAACAGTTAAACTGGATTAACTTAATACGAGAAAGCTTTGAAGTAGAATTGTGATAAAAAAGCAGAATTGATAAGACTTACCGACAGTTGAGAATAAACCGATAATGTTTTGAAAAGTAAAAATTGCATATACACGTTAATTACAGCATCATGCATACGATCATAAATTATAAATTTATTTCTTTATTAATTTTATTGGGTTTTTTTTTTCGGGCGGCCATATAGTTAGTAGGTATATAACTAGTGCGGTGGTAAAATTTAAAAGGAAATGCAATTATTGAAACTAAGGAAATATAAACTTCCTAGTCAGTGACACACAAAAAATTCGCAAAATTAATTTTTTCCCCAAATAGATCTATATGTGATTGGCCTCGTAAAAAGTACGTTTACAGCATTAACACGAAAGATTTTTTTTTCTTGACAAACTGAAAAAGAATTATTTTTAGCCCTCACAATTGCTTTAATTTTATTTAAGATTATCAAACCAACCTTTCACAATCAGGATAAGTACACTCAGAACTTCGGACCTCGTTTGCATCTGCTTCCGTTCCTTCTTCATTGGTACCATGGGTGGAGGTAGATGTTGCCTCTGGCTCAGTTTCTTTTGACACCACTTTAAAGTAAAAATGACAACAGAATGATTAATACTAAATACTATAGTATAGTAAAAATTATGTCTATAAGCACTGCTGGAAAATACATGGTCTATAACAAGCAATATCAAAATGGGGAAGGGGGGGGGGGCAGAAAAGGAATGACCAAGCCTTCCATGTTCCATTTTCCAAATGTTCATTGATTTTATAACAATAGAATTTAAAAAAAAGCATACAGGCCCACTACCTGCCGTTCTACAATCAGGAACAAGGATTTACACTGTGATATACCTGAATTATTTAAAATCATTTATAGGTGGATCGAGAGATTTTTGAAAAGGATCAATTGAAAGTCGGTGTTTTACATAACTGAACTAAGATCTGAGCGTGGCATTTTTTTTATATTTAGAGTACGAGTTTCCAACTGTATCGGAGATACAGGGCGGGGCGTGAGGCGAGAGCGATAGCTCGCACCGGGCCCCGCCCTGTATCTCCGATACAGTAGGAAACGAGTATTCTAAATGACTTGTGACATGACCTTTCCAATGACCTCACTAATTTACATGCGTATTTGGGTACATATATCTCAACCAATCAGATGATTTTTCAGAAAGTTGATTTAGTATCCCATTTTAAGCTTTCCCAACTGAAATACAGAGAGAGGTGGACGTGCAGGTATTTATCATTTTAAAATAATTATTTAGGGGATGCATTATATAATTAAAAAAAAATAAATTTAGATTTGATTGCGTAGGTTTTTTTCTCTATTCGGATGTTGCCGACATTTCAATTTAGATTTAAGCTACGATTTAATGCAAAACATTTTAATATATAAGAATCACGTGGGAGTGTTTTTGAAACAAAAATACTTCGGGGAAAACGTATTCTGAGAGAAATGTCCGACGATGTCCTCCACCTGTCGTAAGATAAAAAAATTGAAATAATCAGATTAAAAGAAAGCGGGGGGAGGGGGGGGGGGGGGAGGATTATTTTACCTTCATGTTCTTGATAAAATGTAGAGTAACCAAAGGGGATCCCAGCACTCACTGGTGCCAACTCAATCCTTGTGTGAGTTTTTTTTTTCGATTTCGTAAATGATTTTTGCTAAACTTGTACGCTTTTAATTTATCAACAAGAAACGATAGCACCACATAATGTCTTGGTTGGTTATAAATCTACCCCTCCCCCCGAAATATACGAGTTTCCACTTATTTTTACTTTTTTTTGGGGGGGGGGTCAAAGTAATCATTTGTGAACTGTCCCACTACATGTACCTCCTTTCTAAAATTTTTGAATCCGACACTAATAACTTTACGTTGTAAAATTTTATTCTTAAAATTCACCTCAAATTTTGAATAAAAACTGGCAGTGCTTTTAAGAGTATTGAACGAATTTTGTGTCTGTATACAGATTCCACAGGTACTTGTGGACATGACCCCCCCCCCCCCCCACTATACACCCCTGGTCAAAATATTTTTTTTTCTTGTTTTGTCATGAATTATGTTTCTAGTACTTATTTACAACGTATTCCATATGAAAAATCCAAAAAAAAAAAACCCCATAGATTTAACGATTTACTAAAAAAGTCATACCCTGGTATTATAAAATAGAGAAGGTAAGTCACTTAGGGTTGTTAATTCGGACCCCTCTTGATTATCGGGCCTAAAATATCATATACCTACTACATGTCACCAAAATGTGTCATGATATCTTGTTTCGGTAGAGATTTTTGTCGTTAATCGTGCCATTTAATTCCCCAGACATTCCCCAGTTATCCGAGTATGTCCACTTCTCTAAAGAGAATATATCGCAGATACAGTATGCTTGACTTCAAAGGAAAACTCGCCGGGTCATGTCACAATTCAAAGATGGAAATGGAAAATGGGTCAGGTAATGAAGAGAAAAGAAATTCATAAAACCTTTTGAAAATAATACTGGTCAGGGAATGTTAAGGAAAGCATCATCACGAAACTAAAATCGTGCGGAGGAAGATGGGGTGTTGAAAGTAGGGGAGGGGATCTAAACATACGTCCACTTTCAGCATATTGCCTTTATTATGTCTATATTAGGTATATTTGCAAAAAAGTGGGGAGGGGCTAAGCCCCCCCGCCCCCGGTTCAGACGCCCATGTAATGGAGATATTTATATTATGACAACCCATACGGTGCCCCACTAACGACGTCACTTTATAAATGAGAATGTGATAGGTGAGTTTACATCGGACTTGACAAACATTCCTGTGTGATGACGTAGATTTTTAAAAAGTTTTGAATGGGATGTTAATTCTATTAACGTGAAAAGTCGATTTTATACTCTCTGTTTAGACGATCATAAAATTTTTAAAAGACTAGGCTATGTACAGGATCGAAACATGTGTAGGCCCCTACCGATGTAGCCTTCGTCATTGCATCGAGGCCTAGTTGCATCACAGGCTGGATTATTTAAAGTAGCTGTTTTCAAGTAAGTCTTACATTTTAAGGAGAAAATTAAGATATAATCAAAACGACAGAATAGTGTTATTATGACAATACATCATTTATATTACACGTGTTGTGTGAATGGTTGGTGACGTCATCATCCTGAGCAATTTTGTCAGACGATGTAAACAAACATAACAAGTAGACTGGTTTCATTTGATTGAAGTATAATTTGATTTAATGTAATTTTGATTTTAATTTTTTTTGTTGTCTTGGATAATTGAAAAATACGTACCTGCAAATGCCGGCACAGATGACTCAAAGCCGCCTACAATGCCACTGAAATTTGGAAGATCTTTCATCATCTCGATGATCTTCTCTTCAGTGGCAGTAAGCGGCTTTGGTGGAGGACCTCCTCCGGTCAATTTGCTTTTTTTTCTAGCTTCACTAAAGCTTTTCTTTGTTGCAAATTACCCCACTTAAATTTAACTTGCTCTACAGTGCGTTTTTGCACACCGATGGCATTAATCATAGCCGTAACCTCTGCCCACATAGCATTTTTTTGCGTTCGTAATTTGGTTACATTGTTTCGCTTTAAGAGTTTCCTCATTTTTTTCAACAAACTCCGTCAAAAGGGTAATTTCTGCGATACTCCAGTTAGCACATCTCTCTCGTTTGGCAGCCATATTCCATACAGTTGTAAGGAAAACGCACGCGCAGACGTATTGAATTGCTTGTTAACTAACGTCGATGAGTTCAGTCATAGTTAACTAATGAACGTTTAATTACGTTTCGTGCAACCCATTTTTAATGGCTAGTTACGTAACTGACAGTTAAATTTTTAACTAACAATGAAAGGCTTAACTTACATTTAATTTAACTAACGTTCGTGCAACCGAATCTTGTTATTCATTTTCTGCAAAACAAATCAGAATTAAGCAGTTTGGGTATTTTACGAAATCGAGTGTATAACACGTCATTTGAATTGCCATTTTGAGCTAAAAAAACACATTTTAAATTTAAACGACTAAATTTTCCGATTTAAAGTGATCATACTAGTGTTCTATTTGAATTTTACCTAGTTGTACATCGCTCAATTAAATATTAACAAATCCTTTCTCCTATGTAAACGTCATTAAGAAATAATTGAAAAAAAGGAATATCCGCCATTAAAAATCGCCATTTTGACTATAAACTTATTGCTGCACCATTATTTAATTGTAGAATAGTGAGATGTTGAGGAAAAAATACAAATCTGCAGTGTATGGATGTTTGCAAACGTAAAATCTTGAACAAATAAGAATAAAGAAACAAAAGACAAATAAATCAGAGAAAATTCGAATTAAGTGTAGAACGACTAAATTGTTTTAGCTAAACTAATAATGTTAACATTCTATTATACTTTTTATAGTTTTATTACACTCAGTTAGATATTCACTCATTACTTCTCCATTTTGAATGACATTGAGAGAAAATTAAAAAAATTGGATGTCTGCCATTTTGAATCGCCATTTTGACCTCTTTAACGCCATTTTCATGAGGGCCAGGATATTTTTTCGGACTTAGCATACTCGAATTAGGTCAAAAACTATGCTGGACCAAATAATAATTATTTGCTGTTAGAAGTTATTTCCAGCCTTCTTTTTTTAAAAATCAGGACAGACTATAAAAAGCAATTCACTGATCGAAATGTAGATCTATGTAATGTTACATCATATCGTTAATATTGATGTCAGAAGTTTGTTTGCAGTCAACAAATCAATTTATATATTTAAAACCTCCAAATTATTCGACATAATCGTTATAACAAATGTAATTTAAGTAATCGATTTATAAAATCTAATATATAGGTTCGCGGCGCTTTTCATAAACAATACATAGTTTTAAAAAAGTAAGAAAAAAATAAATTTGATTTTTTCTTGTTTATTCCATTCTTATCATACAATTTTTTTTTCAATATTATAGCTCCTTACAGGAGGACTGTAGATATGCTGTATCCGGCGCATGGCAGACTGTTGCTTTTCTAATGATAGCAGTTAATGTCTTTTTCCTAATTTTGATAATATTGCTGAGCAGAGGAATATTTTTCAAATGGAAACAAGGTATTATTCAAGCTATCATATAGCTCAAACTTTGTGTCGATGCATCAAAACGTTTTCCTAAACATACATATACTTAGGACAAACATATTCCATTTGCTTCCATTTTTTTATTGTGAATTAACTTTGGTATATTTGAAAATCTATATCATATATAAACAAGAGGCCCATGGGCCTCATCGCTCACCTGAGCACTAGAGCTAGGGAAAAGTATAGATAGAATTTTCCTATATATTGCTTTGTAAAACTTTTGTTGGCCATTCTGGCCCCGTCCTACCCCTAGGGGTCATGATTTTGACAAACTTGAATCTACACCACATGTACCTGAGCATGCTTCCATATAAATATGATGAATTATGGCTTTGTTATTCTTGAGAAGAAGATTTTTAAAGAATTTAACTATACATTTCTATGTAAAACTTAAATCGGCCATTTTCGCCCCGCCCTACCCCGGGGGTCATGATTTGAACAAATTTGAATCTACACTACCTGAGCATGCTTCCATATAAATATGATGAATAATGGCTTTGTCATTCTTGAGAGGAAGATTTTTAAAGATTTTTCCTATATAATTCTAAATAAAACTTAGGTCAGCCATTTTGGGCCCGCCCTTCCCCCGGGGGTAATGATTTAAACAAACATGAATCTACACTACCTTAGGATGTTTCCCCATAAGTTTAATCTTTCCTGGCACAGTGGTTCTTGAGAAGAATATTCTTAAAATATGCAACCAAATTTTCATTTATTCCCAATTATCTTCCCTTGAATGAAGACGTGGCCCTACATTTGAACAAACTTGAATCCCCTTCACCCAAGCATGCTTTGTAGCAAGTTTGGTTGAAATTGGCTCTGCGATTTTTGAGAAGAAGTCGAAAATGTGAAAAGTTTACAGACAGACAGACGGACAGATGGACAGACAGCTAGACAATCAGACAGACGGACAGACAGACGGATGTCGGACAAATGTGATCAAAAAAGCTCACTTGAGCTTTCAGCTCAGGTGAGCTCAAAATGTTATGTAAGATAATAGATAATTCAGTGAAATAGTAGTATTCTTTTCTTCATAGAAAAAAAAGAACAAAACAAAATGCAATATTTTTTCTATTTTATATTTAATAATAATAATAATTTAATATATTTTATATTTAAATTCAAATATATTTATAGATTTGCTGAAATCATTACTACATTTCTACAATCAGAAAATTGATGTTTTGTATCTTCAAGTGTTTCACAAAACGGACATTTATCCGATACAATTTAAAAATGCCATATATTATTTTGCTACTTACATGTATCAGGTTTATTGGTAATCTTTGTTTTTTTTCTAACAAAATCATCGTTTGATTTTTTTGTTTATGTCGTATAAGTTTTTTTTTAAACATCGTGATGTTTTTGTCTTGTTGAAACGAATTTTACCGCGACACAAGATGTGAAGAAGGACATTAAAGATGTTTTTTTTTTTCGTTGAAAATTCGTGTAACCCGTCTGACCTTGAGCGCTTTCAGTTCTCAATCAACGTCAACAATTCCTATCCCTCTCGCATTCTATTCTCTGATTAATGTATTTATTTTTATCCGTTCTCCCTTTCCCCATAGACAATCGAAGACTGTTTAATTGTTTCGTTTTTCAAATATATTGCGAAATAGATGCATTATCGTATACTTGTGTTATTGCTTAAATATTAATGACAGTACTTTTTCCACATATTTCTTGTGTTCCACATTGTGAGTCGTTTTTCTAATTTATCGACTTTTTCTGTCCAGTTTTTTTTCATAGCACTGATCAAAATTATTACCTATATACATGTACATTCCTAAGCATTTAGCGGGTGCATTAGTAATATTTATATCTTACAATTTATCATACTTCTGTTTTATACTTGGATATTTTACTTGAAAAATGTGTTAATGGTAACAACCATGCTGTATGATAAACGTGATGACTTTAACTTTTCTATCGTCAACTTTCCTAACTTATGCAACAATATACCTTCATCACCTGACTAAAGATTTTATATATCTCAGGTGATTCGATACGCAGGAGAATGCTCTACGTATGAACAATTTCTAAAACGAGGCAAATTATTGACAAGCAAGTTGATGAAAAAGAATATCTGCAGTATCGTTTAAAGTCATCATTTCGTAGGTTCTATGGTCGATACAATGACCTTGTCAGCAAATACAATTTATCATTAAGTCAAATGCTGACTGACGTTTTTCACACCAATTGTTAGTCCATTATTTATACACTGAATTGACGACGGATTTTTTTCCTTTTTTTCCTGATCATGACAAGGAGCACACGGCGGGTGTGACCTGTTGGCAGGGGATGCTCATTCCTCCATTGCACCTGATCCAACCTCTGTTGTTTCAGGGGTCCGTGTTTGCTCTGCTCTTGTTTTGTTTTGTTTTATGGACTTTGAGATTGGGTACTGTTGGTTATCTCCATATCCTTCTCATACCTGTTTTTCAAGGGCCCTACTCATATTTCTTCAGATTTATTCTTATTAAGTTGCATTCCTGATATCTTGCCAAATAGTTCGATTATATTTATTGCGTTTTCTATAGATTTCATATCTTGTAAAAAGAGTGATGTATCGTCTACGTGTTGAAGGATTTTTATTTCTTTAGGCATAAAGTCATTAGTAAAACCTTTTACTCCTGGTGAATTGTGTAATATTTTTGAAATTATTTCTACAATAAATAAAAAAAAGTAATGCTGAAATTGGGCAACCTTGTCGAATTCCTTTCGTAATTTTACAGGTTCTAGACATCCATTCATTATTTTTCATACGAAATATAGGCGTTGTATAAACATTCACATTTACTATTGTTACCAAGACTGCAAATGTCTAGAGTAGCGTGAAATATCTGTAAAATTCACTGCCAGTGACATGTGAGAAGTTATCGAGCGAGATTTCGGAAAAGGAAAGAGATTAAGACACTAAATTTATATTAGTAATATACCTTGTTGAAAAAAAAATTCTTGTGTCAAGCGTTTCTTCCGGTTGTCACAGGAAGTGAAAGATAAATAGAAAGTTTTAACTTTCCTTTTTAAAACTAGAATATGCTTCTCTTTGATGCATGCCTTTCGCTCTATTAAGGTATGTTAAATTCCAACGAAAACAAACAATTAAACTTCTGTTTTTAAAACCAAAACAAGTTTATTTTAATATTTAATTCTGTCATGAAAATCACATACAAATGAAGTATTTGAAATTTCTGGGTTTTTTTCTGTTTTCAAATTTGAATTTGTTCTCACAACTGCTAGACAAGAGAGCAGTTTTTTTTACTGGTAGTGAGTCATCAGTTTAAATGCATCGTGTCTAAACGCTTGTGCCTCCATTAAATCAGGTTATGATATAAAGTGATACAAAATAGTGGATTTCTAAGCTGTATTTTTCTACACAGGTTTTCAGGTAATATCAACGTTTGAAAGGACTTGTCCGCGCAAAATATTCCCGCTAGAACTGCATGACAAAAAACCACTCTTACCATTAACCGTGAATATGATTCACAACAGGAAGTAGTCCAACTGAAGACCTCCTTGAGCATTATTATTGCTGAATTTAAAGTTGTTATTAGTCCCATACCGGTGAATTCTCTGCGTCTGTCCGTCCTTCCATCTAGTTGCTTGTCCGTCTGTCTGTCTGTCTGTCCTTCTCGGTTTTCCACTTTTTTTCCCTAAACGCTTGTAGATATTAAGATGAATTTTGGTATGTCAGTGTATCTTAAGGAGTTACTGATCAAGTTTGAATTTCGTTGCGTTTCATTGATTTTTGACAGAATTATCATATT